GTTATAGTTCTTCGACATCACACTCAAACAGATAATTTACTATCAACTTATTCAGTATACTTATTGTGCAAAACTAGTAAATCTAAAAGTTTTCTAAAGCCTCTTGGCCCAATTAAGAAATGTCACTCTAAGTACTTGTCGGCACTTGAGCGTTGAATTAATTTGTTCATCAATCAGAAGCCTCAGGTTAGCTATCATCTCTTGAGCTCAAGCTATAAGGTGGAGATTGGTATCTCTAAATTCTTGTTAATTATCTTTTTTCCTAATCTTTATCTCTTTTATATAGCAAGTCAAAATACGTACGATTTCTTGATGTTTGCAACCATTAAAAAAATTTACAAAAGAACTCTAATACACATAATCACTCATTCATAAGAATTTATTCTCATCATCCCTACTCTAAGTTTCATACTCCCAGTAATGAGTTTAGCTATTGATAATTAATGGTAAACAATGACACTTATAACATACATTACTAAGAACATCAATGTTTAAAAAAATAAGCAATATCTTTTATTAATGTATACCTTGCAAGAGAAACTTGTTTGTTCGACAATAATCTACTATAAATTAAATTAGACCTTCAACACTAAGAACTATAAATTTTTTATTCTATGAGTAATAACTTGTAATACTTATTTCTAACCTTTGAAATAGTTCATAACCCTAAAAGTACCATTTTAATGACATATATATAGCAATGGCATTGCAGGGTACACTTGGTCTCCAATCTCTTTCTTCAAGTGTCTTATATTCTTATTTTCAAAATAGGTATGGCACAAGGCTTTGTTTAGGGGTGGGCATTCGGTATTTTGGTTCGGTTCGGATTTTTTTCGGTTTTTTTGGTTTTCATTTTTTATAAATTGCGTACCGAATACCGAACTGAAATATTTCGGTTTGGTTCGGTTTTTGTTAATTCGGTTCGGTTTTTATTAATTAGGTTCGGTTTTTTAATTTAATTTTTTAATGGGCCTGTTTAGTGGGCTTTTTTAATTCCCAATAACTAATTAACTAGTAACAAAAACAAAATGAGAAAAAAAAATAATTAAAAAAGTCAAAAAAAAATTTAAAAAAATGAAATTCTAAAAACATACGGTTACTGGGTTACATACCTGCACCGCTGCACCTGGCTGCTGCCTGCTGCTGTCGCGGGCGGCTGGCGGCTGCTGTCGCGGCTGGCGGTGGCTGCTGGTGGACGGCGGCTGGCGGCGCTGCTGCTGGTGGACGGTGGACGGCGGCTGGAGTAGAAAAGGAAGAAGAGTTGACTGCTGAGTGCTGAAGACTGAAGAGTGAAGAGGAGAGGATGAGGAGTGAGGAAGAGTCAAAATAATAGGTATTAGGGTTTCTTATTTTTAAAAAAAAAAATTATTTAATATAAATAATTATTAAATATAATATAATTTATAAATTATAATATAATATTTCAGTTTAAACCGAAATACCGAATTCTAAAGTAATATGTACCGAAAACCGAACCGAAATACCGAAAATACAAAAAATTAAACCGAATACCGAACCGAAAACTGAAATACCGAAACCGAAATTCTGAAAAAATTAAATCTATTGCCATTTAAGTGGGGAGTTACAGAATTCCATAGAATTTTACGTAATATGTATATAGCCTTTATGGTAATGATTTGGTCTGAAAGTGCACGGTTAATGGTATGAAATTTACCATATACATATATACTTATGTATAGTACTTTGGTGTAGAAAAAAGAGAGTAGTAAAGATTACATTAAAATAGTTTTTCTTCCTTATTAATTTGTTGGGTTTTCTTAGGTAAAATATATTCTTTGTTAGATTCTGGATCCTAGTTTTAGTATTAGAAGAACTTGTTGAATCCTGGGGGATACACTTAACGAGTGAAATATCCTTGAGGACATTGTCATAGGCACGTCTCACGCTACATGATTTCCAATAATTTTACAACAGGCTTATGTTAAGGAAGGTCTTTAGACACCACAGACTCCATTTCAGACTTCACTTGGTAGTGTTTCAATTTGAGACACTTAAAGTTGTGTTCTAATTCATGTTTTAAGTCTTTTATTGTTGTTTTGGCTTGAATTATCCTACTAATCTCTATTAAAACATTAAAACATGTATTCAATAAATTCAAGGATATTCATAAGATTATACTCAATAGTTATCTAAATCATGTGTAAAATATGATGTTTGAATATGTGATTACATCCAAAATTATGTCCCATACTTAGAGCTTTTGCTCATCTTTGAACAACTCATCTTATCCTTTATAGACCTAATATCATTCAATTTTAGTTAAACAAGGTGTAATGACCCTCTAGGTCATTTTTTGTTTCCTTGTATTTTTTGTTTCTGATAGTTTCCTAAGGCTTCCACACTCATTTTAAGATACCTTGTGAACTATTGCTACAACAAAGTTGCATATGGAACCTATTTTTCATCAAGATTACCTCCCTAAAAAGTTTATTGAGTCTAAAATGTGGTTTCTGATTCGGTGACATACTGGTTTGTATAGTTTAGACCCCAAATCAATCTTGTGATTCCTTTTGGACATGAAAATTAAATTTGATGCATTATGCTGACGAATCATGGCTCAATTCGGAAAAGGGCTAGTCGGTTTGGTGAAGGTTCCCCATCAATAAACCACGCTCCCATGAAGCTTGGTCATTTGATGACCTCACCTCACGCATATGAGACGAGTAACGAGTTCACTCCTACGAAGCCGACCAGCCAGTCAAATTTACCATCGCTCTTGCGAAGATTGATTTTTGCAGCGGCGGATTAGGAAAGCTTCTCCTGCGACGTTGGGTATGCAAGAGTGGCTCTAAAAGTGATTAAATCACTAGTTTCTTCCTCTTATTTTATTTTTTAAGTGGTGTATAATTAGAGAATTTGTACGCGATTCATATTGGAAATTCTTGAATTGAGCTGAGAATTGCTTAGGTAAATATTCTCGCTCGAAAACTTGTAACTTCTTATTAAATTCATGGACTTTATCTTAAATTGGTCTTGTTGAGCCTACCTCTTCTTGGGTTGTTTAAAGCTTCGTAAGACTTGGATTGTGCCCGTTTTTTAGGAACAAGTTCCTTGATCTAGTTTGGACCAATTGACAGATAGAGTTATCATAATGGGCTGGCCCAACTCAAGCCTCACGGGCTAGAGAGTTAATTAGATTGGGACGATGTGGCACTTTTGAATTAAAGGTCCTATAAAATAGCAATCCAACCCAGTCCTAAGCGGGCCACGAGTTGAGACGGGTTGAACGTTCAACCAAAGCATATTACTCTCTTAGAAAGACTATCTAAGAGTATCGAACGTTGACGTCTATAAAAACAACATCAATACATACAAATTTTATTCATAAGTCACACACTTCGGTGAATACTTACAAAAATACATTTATGAATCACACACTTCGGTGAATACTTGCAAAAATGCATTATAGTCATATTAAGATTTAGCGAAAAAATATTGATCATATCACCATTCCTCCGACAAAAAATTAGCTAGTTTAACAGACTTGATTTTTTATTATTTATGATATTTATTGATAAAAACTTTATAAACAAAACACTACTCATATATATATATATATATATATATATATATATATATATATATAGCACACTTGCTGGCCTCTGCGGCATGTGTGTTGGGCCTACGAGGCTAGCGGGTCAAATGAGGAAAAGCTAAAAAGCCGCCAATTACATAATTAGGTATTGGTATTGATACACCTGTGTTTTCACCATTGTTGCCTTTGAATTGAATTAGCTAATTGCTCGCGAAAGCTAATTGCTCATCAATTACCTAAAGATTTCACCCAAGAATTGTGTAGAAAATTGTAGATCAACTGACAAACTGATGAATTTGTGCATCTGTAAAATTTTATGATCCTCAATTCAAATCGCCTATCACAATATTCACTGTGTGGCTCTGCTACCATGAATGTAAATGAACTAAACTGAATTAACACAAAACCTTCATTAACAAGGAGCTAACATTGAAGGAGAGAAACTCTCATTGTTCACGCTCAAAGACTGATTGTTACAATGTTGAACGCACTATTAATAGAATATTTTATCTAACTTGAAAGGAATTAGTTACAACAAAACAATATAAAATGCCTACACTATCCTTGATCATCAAGTGCGTTAACTAACCAGCTGACTGCTTCACACTCATATCTCATCAAAATGAATTCTAAAAATAACTATTTTAGTTTATTTGACAAACTAAAAGATTAAAAAAGAATTTTCTAAGAAAAACCACCTACACACACCCATGCCACTCTTCTATTCATCAAATCATGTATCACTTTCACCGATGGCATCAGTAAACCTTACCCCTTAATTCGACCCAGGTAGTATGACATGACTGTGCACCCTAGCTAAACTTATTTACTCTTTCAACCGAATAGCATCAAACATTTTTCACTCATATTCTTTCTATTACTAATCATTTATCATAATTGTAATAATAATTTTTGCCGAAAAAATATTGTTTCGTGTTATCTTTGTTGGAAAAAATGGAAGTTGTGTCAAAAATTTTGAGACTTAGGTCTATGTAGTAATGGAAAAATGAAAGAAGGAAAAAAGCAGAGGAATTGGATAGAGTGAGAGACAAGGAGAGAGAGAGAGGGGTGGAGGGAGTGTGGTGTAAGGAGATGGGGAAAAGAGATGGCATTTTTATTAATACTAGATAGATATTGCCCAATATTTCATCTATGAGTTCATGTATATATTTAGAAGTAATGGCAATTTATCTACTTACTAAGTAAAGCATATCTTGTAAACTATTATATCCACAATAATAGACGAAACATATTTAGACTTTGATATGTATATTTGTGCCTTGTCCACATACATACAAGGTATAGTGGCAGAAGTTGATGCAAGCAGATTTTATGTTGTTGGCAGTGGAAAGTTGGGTTAATTTTCTCATAACTTGTAAAAATTAGCTTTCCCTTAAAAGTTATGCAAAGTCCTTCAGTTCCCTAATGTGATCATATATAAGTCTTCCATCAACAAACTTAGGCGGTGAAACTGCAATGATTAAAAAAAAGACAAATTAAACAAATTATTTAATAAAATATATGTCATATTTAACAAGTTTTTTGAAGAAAAAAAAATTATTTAGCATTATGTTTTTTAGTTTGTCATTTTTTGCGATTTCTCGTGTATTAATCAAAAGGGAGAAATCATCATGTACTACCATTGTTCATCTATGAAGACATGTTTTCCAAGTCTTCCATTATGGTCCTAAGTAATTAATAAATTTCACTAAGAAAACAAAAGAACTTTTCTCCTTTGCTTATTACAACAACATATGAATTGTTCCAAATATAAAAAGAAGAGAAGATGAATGGAAAAGGAAAAAGTAGCAAAGAAGAATACCTGATAATTGCAGAAACACTAATAAAGATGAAGAGAAACTTGAATGAAAATATATTGGGAATTGGCATGAAAGTCACCTGTAACAATACCGTGGCAGCAAAACCCAAGTGGAGGGGGATACTAAGAATAGAGGCAATTTGAAATGACGAAACTGCCCTTTAAATTAAAAATGGACAAAATACACATAGATTGATACCAATTGGAAAGTGACTCTTCTGGTATAGTAGAAAGTTGGCCATAAATCAGGAAGAAGACGGGCCTTTTCTTCTTAGTTTTTTTTTTTTAGAAAATGCATAAGTATCCCCAACCTATATCCCAAATCTCAGAAATACACTTAAAGGTCATTTGGTAAAATGTATTAGGAAAAATAATACATGCATTAGGTGTGTGTATTAATAATACATTGAGTTTGTTACATTTTTTTTTTTTTGGTCATGTATAACTAATGCAAGCTTAGTTATACATAATATTGTGCATTAAGTTGTGCATTACTAATACCAAGAATTCTAAGTATTAGTAATACATAGAATTTTAACACTTGCATTAGATTATGTAATTACAAAAGTACCCTCAAAGTCCTTTAAAAACATTTTCCATAGTACTTTGTTTCAGAAACCTATCATCTTTTCTTTCATCGCCTGTACTTTGTCAATGGAAATTCAAGAGTAGGTTTTCTTCCTTTTTTTCTCAATCAAACATTGTTTGCTCATCTTCATAAGGTTAGTACTTTATCTTCCATTAAAATCTGTATTTTTCAACATCTCTTTCACAATTTAAGATGAAATTTAGGTTTAGCTCGTTTTTTTTAATATGCTTTGAGCTTGTCAAATTCTAGTGTAGCCATTTACAGTACTTTATCTTCCATTAAAATCTGTATTTTTCAACATCTCTTTCACAATTTAAGATGAAACTTAGGTTTAGCTCGTTTTTTTTAATATGCTTTGAGCTCGTCAAATTCTAGTGTAGCCATTTACAATACTTTATCTTCCATTAAAATCTGTATTTTTCAACATCTCTTTCACAATTTAAGATGAAATTTAGGTTTAGCTCGTTTTTTTTAATATGCTTTGAGCTCGTCAAATTCTAGTGTAGCCATTTACTTTTGAGATTCTGAAATGTAATTATATAGCTGCTATGACAGTTTTCTAATATGTCTTGTATTTTTGTGTCTGGTCTCTATTTTTCATTGTTAATTTCTCTATGAGTTGATGAACGTGTTTGATAGAAGAGGTGAAGAAGTTCGCTTCTATTTGTTTGAATAGTGTGGCAGATTATTTCTCTGATCGTTATGCTAGTATTGTTCCTGTTGGTGGCATTCAATATCTCCTACATTGTTCGTGTTGGTGGCATTTGATTCACTCTATGTTGCTACTCGAACTCTCCGAGTGCGTGTCGGAACCTCCAAAAGTAGTGCATTTATGTCTCCTAAATGTTTCACATTGTTAGTATCGAATACCCCTGCCACCTAGCTAATTCTGCCTTATCAATTTTTGATGAATGATGGCTATATTCTTGAAGTCGTGTTGAATTGATGTAGTTATCACATTGTTTGTATCGGATCTCCCCTGCCACCTAGCTTATACTGCCTTATCAATTTTTCGATTAATAAATGATCACGTTGAATTGCCTTATCAATATTGCTCCCATGTTTTCTTGTCCTTCGAATTTTGATATTATTTGTAGTTTCTGGTACTTCGACTATCATATTATTTTGTTGAAGTTACTGTCTTGTTACTCTCTGTTGTTTTTGTTATTATGTGCTATTTCTTTTACTACTTCTCTTGATTGCTATGGACTATTTTTCCCCTGAGACACTGCTTAAATCAAACTGTGACGGAGGATCTAAAGAATGTTGTCCAGAGATGATGGTGACTGCAGTTCAACATGACGTTTTCTCATCAGAAGATGAGGATGTATGTCCCACGTGCCTCGAAGGTAGCTAACATTATATTACAATTTTGTGATTGTAAAAAGCTATTTCAGCCCCAACAGATTGACAAAAGAAGCTGCTCTAAGGCTTTAAGCTAATATTTCATCTACAAGGTTGAACGATTCTCTTGATAAGCGTAATAAGTCAAAAGACGCGATTTTTTTCGTTTGCAGAGTATACACCAGAGAATCCCAAGATATTACAAAATGTTCTCATCATTATCACCTCAACTGTATTTATGAGTGTCAAGAGAGAAGTGAAACATGTCCAGTTTGTGGAAAGGCAAGATTTTCTTATTTCTTTTATTTTTCACAAGTCTTTAACTTTGTGCTTAGTTTACTACCGCCACATAATTTGGGATGGATCTAATGCATGAGTTGTTAGTATTGTAACATACATAGGTTTAAGATAAAGTCTTTGTAATCTGAAAGTCACAGCAGTGTAGGTAGTCAATGATCACTTCTCTCATTCAGACGTCTGAATTGTATTTGAGCTGGTATATGTTCGTGTTAAAGTGTCTCATATATTGGTGATATGCATACGCTTATATCTGCAGACTGCACTTCGACATCTGTACTCTGCACGTCTTGATTCCTCACAACAATTTTGTGGACACTTTGATAGAACTAGAGTTCAGGGGTACACAAAAGAAGACTCGAAGTAGATACATTCCCTAACTCAAAAAGTTTTACCTTACCTCTTTTGTTACTTCGCACATTGACGACTTCCATTATATGATTGCCAGAATCATCCTTGGGAAAGAAATGTGCCAAGATGGCGACTATTGCTTAAACTTGAACTATTTTTGTGTTTTCTATTGCAAATGCAGTCCAGTCAAGTATATTTAGCTTCATTTCTCTTAACACTTTCATTTCCTCGAGCAGTTGATGGAATTCGGCGAGACAAATTGATGGTCAGAGTTGAAGAGAAGGAGCTTAGCTGAAATGAAAACAGACATAGATGTGAAGATTTCCTACATCTTAGTAAGATGAGAATAGACTGATTCAAGGAATGGGTTGACAGAAACCTCCAACAAGAGGTATGGACATCCTAGTATGAAATGTTTAACTTCCCATTTGTGTGAGGAGCTGGTGATTTATATCTATGTTCATTCTATTTTTGATGAATCGCTTAGTAAGTGTGTCTTAAGATTATGTGTTCTGCGAAAATATAGCTCCTTGGATGAAAACTAAGGATCCCTACCTTTGCATATGAATAAGTTGATCTTTTGAACTTATGGTGGCAAAATTGTGAATGTTACCTATAACTTGTGTCAAAAAATTGTCAAGGAACCGAGGCAAGGTATTACACAAAGCTTCAGAAGTTGATGACTCCCCTGAAATTGGTGATGCCAGCATTGGCAATGGCAGACTGAAGAGGAAACTGCTATGAGATATTGCTACAAGTTAAGCCTTCAACTTTCCATTGGTTGTAAATATCTTTGTATATTTCAATTAGGCTATTTTTGGTGTACATAAGTAATAGCAGGCCTTCCAACTAACTTCGGATCATTTTCAGCTGACCTTTTTTGAATGTTTTAATCAACTGGATTTGTGACTTTCCATATATATTGAAGATGTTTGACATCTTCTTCTTTTTCATTTTTAATCTTATTTCAATGTAACAACAATTTTTTGATCTTATATTTGAAAAAGAAGAAGAATAGGAAGAAATAATATTTTAGCAAAGAAATCTTTTTTGATGTTTTAGCAAAGAACCTTGTTGCAAAGGAAGTATATAAAGAAATAAAGTGTAAAGGGTATTTTTGTAAACACGCTTTTTAAATAGAAATTATGCAAAATTTATTTTTTCTAATATATCAAATCAAACAGTGTATAAGAAATAATGCAAACATAAATAATGGAAGCATTACTAATGCAAGCACTAGTAATGCAAGTATTACTAATACATACTATTTTGCATTGTTATTATAAACTCTACCAAACGATCCTTATATCATATTAAGGTCCTATTACCTCCCCTAAACTTATTTTATAAATAATTTTCTACCCCTTTTTGGCCTACGTGGTTCTATCTTGTGGGTCGAGTGCGTGTTGACATTTTTTTTCAAGCTAGTACCACGTGGGCCGAAAAGGAATAGAAAATTATTTATAAAATAAGTTCAGGGGTAATAAGACCTTAGTATAGTATAAGTGTGTCTTTGAGATTTCAGACATATGTTGGTGGTGGAGGGGGGGATACTTATGCATTTTTCTTTCTTTTTAATTGTTTTTTATTAATTAATTTTATAAATAAAAGGAGTTGTGTAAGTTGGAAATAAAAAAGATACAAATATTTCAATTGTTTTCGTAAGGAGGGTAGAACACACTTTTTGTTGTCATGTCAGTGTTTTATGTTTTATAGAAATAACTTTGGAAAAATAAATAAAAAATTAAAGAGAATGTACATAAAGTCCACCCTGAACTACTCTTTTTATAAAGAGAGATTTAAAATTTGTGGGGTCCTAACACCCCCTGAACAATAGACTTAAACTTTGTGGGGGTCCTAATACCCCCCTGAACAATTTGAAAGTAATAGCATTGCCTCATTTTTGACTAAACCCAATTGTGAAAAAATGTGTGATTTTCACGCCCCAATCTCAAACCACCACATTTAAATGTCATAAATTATAAAAATAAATATGAAAAAAGAACTTTTTTATTATATAATAAAGGAAAAAAAAATTTCCACCCCCAACACTTCTCTATTCTTGTCTACTTCTTCCCTTTCCCTAACCTTCTTCAACAAATAAAAAATGACAATTAACTTCAATTAGAAATGGTAAACAAAAATCAATCTATTATTTTTATGCTAATATCATAATAATTTTAGGAAAACAGTCATGATTTTATTTTATTCTTGGACTATACAAATACTTATATTAGCAGTTTAGCACCAAAATGGTTGAAGTAACCATGGCTAACCATCATTAATTTGCAATTTTTGTCGAAAATATTTTTTCGTCAGATAATGGTGACTAATAATGACCATCTTTCTCTTCATTTTTTCATTTCATGACTTTTGTTATCTTTTCATCATACCCGTCAAAAATATCAAATGTCGACTATGATAAATTGTACCATCACAATGATGAAGAAGATAGGTGAAGCAAATGACCCTAATTGAGGATGACTAACTGAGTACTCGTCTTTTGACCGTAAATTGAACTTCGAGAAATACTATAGTGCTCGGTCGTAGACACTCCAACAAGCTTCAATAGTTGCTAATGGTGTTTTAATTGATTTGGGGATTATAGATTTTTTTTTTAAAGAATTCAATTTGAAATGCCACATGGCTTTTTTATATTGGTTAGAGGTTGTTTTTTAAACTACTCGCGCGCTCTTGCAATGTGAGAACACATCAGGTGCAAAAATAAGTGAAAATGACGTATTAACTTTTGTTGAAAGTAGTTTAGTGGGGTAATTATGTATTTTCCCAGAAGAAAAAAAAACGAACTGACGGGAAAACTTACTTTAGCACCTTAACTTTATCGATAATTCTTTACCCCCCTCCCTAATCTCATTTGAAATGAATTTTCTATCACCTTAAGATTATAATATCAGTCTCACTGTGGCAAGTGCATCTCACAAGCGACATGTCAATGAACATCAGCGCCACAACACTGCCACATCAGTACCACTTTGAAACTTATTTAAATTTTGAATTTTTAAGTTTTTCTTTTTATTTATTAACTATTTTAGAAAGAAAAAAATTAGGAAATAACTAGGATTAATCTTACAATAAAAAAAAAATACAAGTTCATCACCATTAAAAAAACAGTGCTTTAAATAGTGATTTTGAAGCAACAATTTTCAACACCAATAATCTTCTTTTTTCAATTTTGAAAATTAGTGATATCAATTTTGATTCATATTTTGATAAAAATAAAGATCCTCTTCTTCAAATCAGAAGTGAATATGAGTGAAAGATCAAAAATAAAGAAAAAAAATAGTGGGGGTTTAACGATGATGGAGAAAAATACGAGAAAGATGATGATTGAAAGAGAGGAGGTTTGGAGTAGGAGAAAGAGGAGGGATGTGGGGTTCAAAGAAGGAGAAATGGGTGGGCAGTTTCAAAGAAGGGCAGAGATAGGGAGAGGGGTGTTTGAGTAAGAAGAATGAGGTGGTGCAAGGGTGGTTGAAGGCGGCAAGGGGTAGTAGACTGTAAGGAAGAAGAAAGTGTGGGTTGTTAGTAGCAAAAGGTAGGATGGTGGGGTGTGAGAAAGATGAACAATGAAAAATGAAAAGCAATCAACTTATCTTTCTCATTTTAATTTTTTTGTCAAACGCTTCTGCATTTATGCCACTTATTATGTCAGTAATTTGGGTGCATCTAAATTCACTTGATATGAGATTTGGGGTAAAAAATTATCCACAAAGTTGAAGTACTAAAGTAAGCTTTCAAGTTTACAAAAATTTTATGTATTTTTTCAATAACCTTTGAACTAAGTAAGGTATTCAACAGGCACACATTTAAATGACTTAAGCCTATTTAATATTATTAGGTTGCATGCCATCGAACCACACTCAGAAAAATCTCTCCAAAGATAAAAAAAGACATTTTGACAAACCGTTAAGCCTATTCAATATTATTAGGTTGAATGGCCTCGGAACCACTCAGAAAAATCTTTTCAAGGATGAAAAGAGATATTTTGACCAACCAAAGTTGAAAAACATTTTCGTATTCCATGCCGAACACACCCTTGCATCATTCTTGTTTAAGCCCTCATCTTGTTATGTTTTAGTATGTAAATCAGTATTGCTAAGAAATTGATGTCAAGTTCAGCACGATGCTTGCTATACTACAGATTAAAGAAGAGAAATAATTACTGAGCGGCTAGAATTAGTTAATTAGTTGATGCTGTAGTTGTATCACAGTGACCACCAGTTACCTATATTACTACTACATAATTCATAATACGAGGGGAATATATAATAGTACATTTTTAAAAATACATTGAAGCCCATTTTTTTAAATATTAAGAACCAACCATCCATATCACCAGACTGCACCGCACATACTGAACAGAACCAAACGAAATTCAGTTGGGCATTAAAGTACCGATTACTCGTTCCTAATCAAAAATAATACCATCAATGAACTCATGCAAGAAAAAAATTCAACAATCCCTCCAATTTCACAGTAGAGTTGTCCCAAAATAGAAGGTCAAATTCAATAAATGTATGTATCCTGCGTGTTGGATGAAAAGAAACCAATATATGACAGGCAATGAGGAGATCCCTCATCCGAGGGTAATCTGCAATGAAGCTTTTATAGCCTCAATTTTACTGCAAAACAGATTTAAGAGCAAATGCACTAAGGAAGTTCTGAAACCACATCCAAAACAGCAACAATAGAATACAAAATATCGCCAATAAAGAGTCAAAACTCCTGTATCCACACAAATAGTAATGATTTCCTCAAACTGATATGATATAGGAATTTTCTCATTCAATAAATATTGACATTATTGGGTCCAAGAAAAAAAAGAACCACAAAAGTGCAAAATCAGATAAAAGGAGAAAATGAGAGAAAAGACGAGGAGAAAACATCACAATCACTCTCCTTCAACTACAAACAACCTAAAAAAGAGACGCTTCGACCAAGGGATGGTGTAGCCAGACAGAAGAGGGCAATGCATCAGGCACCTCTCAAGTATGTAGAGAATATTAACCACATTAAATGGAAACATGAGATAATACTGGCAATCTGTTGTTTGCTACCGTGCATTCATAGCCCCCACCACCAAACTTCTCCATCCCATCAAAAAAACAAATTGACTGGCAACATAATAGCAAAACCGGGAAACAGACAGGACACTCGCACTTTTAAGTAATTATAGCAGCACCTTAGAAGCACTTTCTGTGGACAATGGAAGGACCAGACTCATCATACTCGCCCTTTGAGATCCACATCTGATCAAGCACAAAGATAACAAATATTTAGTCCAACTAGCTAATGTAATTTGTACTGGAAAAAAATTAACGCAAAGAAGAACAAAAGCTCACCTGCTGGAATGTGCTGAGGGATGCAAGAATGGATCCTCCAATCCAGACACTGTACTTCCTCTCAGGTGGTGCAACAACCTTAATTTTCATGCTGCTTGGAGCCAAAGCAGTGATTTCCTTGCTCATCCGATCAGCAATACCAGGGAACATGGTGGAGCCACCACTGAGAACAATGTTACCATAGAGGTCCTTCCTAATATCTACATCACATTTCATGATGGAGTTGTATGTAGTCTCATGGATACCCGCAGCTTCCATTCCAATCATTGATGGTTGGAAGAGTACCTCTGGGCAACGGAACCTCTCAGCACCAATGGTAATAACCTGTCCATCTGGCAACTCATAGTTCTTTTCAATGGAGGAACTGCTCCTAGCGGTTTCAAGTTCCTGCTCGTAGTCAAGAGCCACATAAGCAAGCTTTTCCTTCATGTCACGTACAATTTCCCGTTCAGCAGTAGTGGTGAACATGTAACCTCTCTCGGTGAGGATCTTCATCAAGCTATCAGTAAGGTCACGACCAGCAAGGTCCAAACGAAGAATGGCATGTGGTAAAGCATAACCTTCATAGATAGGGACAGTGTGACTAACACCATCACCAGAGTCCAACACAATACCTGTCAAAAGTAATATATTAAGTCAAAATTAAAACAGAGTGAGTTATTTCATTGGGCAGACAAAGTTGGATCACAAAAAGCCCAGTACGAACCAGTGGTACGACCGCTAGCATACAGAGAAAGCACAGCCTGGATAGCAACATACATAGCAGGAACATTAAATGTCTCAAACATAATCTGGGTCATCTTCTCTCTGTTGGCCTTGGGATTAAGGGGTGCCTCAGTCAGGAGAACAGGGTGTTCCTCAGGAGCAACTCGAAGCTCATTGTAAAAAGTATGATGCCATATCTTCTCCATATCATCCCAATTGCTGACTATACCATGCTCAATGGGATATTTCAAGGTCAAGATACCTCTCTTAGATTGAGCTTCATCACCCACATACGCATCCTTCTGTCCCATTCCGACCATAACACCTGTGTGCCTGGGACGACCCACAATACTGGGAAACACTGCTCGAGGAGCATCATCACCAGCAAATCCTGCCTACATTTCAAAACACAAATCATTCCATAAAAAGGATATGCAATTGGCTTAAATTAAAATGGTTATAAATGACAAGTGCTTCCTGTAAAAACAATAGTCAATGAACAAGGACTACCTTAACCATTCCAGTTCCATTGTCACAAACAAGGGGCTGAATATCCTCACCGTCGGCCATTTTTAATCAACTGAAAGTAAAAGCAAGTTAAATCAGCACACTTAGTCTAACCTAAACATATACATGAAGGTATCAACACATAACACAACATCATAAGATCGATTCAGAACTCAACTAAATGTCTCTAGTCATATAAGGTTTTACTTGTTAGTAAGTAAACTGATATATCTAAATCCCAGACAATTTGGAGCTCAGTCAACAGGCGGACACTTGTAATAATAAAAACATGCTTCGTTTTTCCGTATAGCAGCCAAAAAAAAAGATCCATCAAAGTTTAGCTAAATTTGCTGGTAACCAAAATGAGTATGCAGAGATCAAGTACTAATAACACAGTAGATCTAGGAAAATTAAGAGCAGATCAAGTTCATGACAGATTGACCATAAAAACAACAGATCTGGAAAAATCAAAGAGAATATCACACCTAAATCTAAGTTTTACTAAGTAATTAGAGCAGTAGAGTAATCAGAAGAACAAAAAGCAGCGATTCAACATGAGTAAGTAGAGCAGATCTCAAAGCAGAAATTGAAAGAAAAGAAGCAAGTAAATAAAGCAAGATCTGATGAAGAAGATAGGTTAGATTACCGAAAAGGAAATGAAAATGGATCTGAAAAGCAAAGGCAAACGGATGATGACTTGTGGCCGACTTGCTTTCTCTCTCTACAGTCTGGAAGAGGATGAATGAGTTAAGACAATACACAAGTATATATATAGTCGTAAAAACTGGCTGAGACGGCCTTTGAATTTATAATTTTCTTTTTTATTCTATTCAATGTATTTTTGAATTTGAATGATAAGAGGTGGTGAGCACAAAGACAACCAAATTGACAGATTCGCCCTCCACTATTGAATGGAGTAAACAAGGAAAATCTTTGTTCAAATTATTTTCAATTTTTTTAAAATCTAATTCCTATCAATTTGAGTTGATTTTTTCGATCTTCTTTCACAAAATTTAATTTTTTTTTTCAACTATGTGTGCGCTCGAGCAAAAATTTACGAACTATTATCTTAAAAGACTTATGTTTTCTAAGTTTCAACTTCAAATAGTTAAATATGAGCTAAAAATAGATGTTTTGGCTATAAATTTCAAATATCTTTTATTTAATTTAAAATTTATAAAATTGAAATTAAAAATAAAGTTATGTTTAGTTACTGTTTTTATAAATGTTGTTTTTATAAATTTGAGAAGGGAACATTTTATTTGAAACTATCAAAATGAAGATTAAAAAGTACATACAAGGTTTTTTTAAAAAAGAAATTATATTTGACTTCTCATATGAATTGAAATTGGTAAAAAAAAAATTAATTTCAATGCCTTCATATATACCAGAAAAGGAAAGGACTAACTTTTCACCAAGAAAAAAATATATCTAGTACACTTTGTAACATCGATTAAACGGTATCAACAACATAATTTTAGAAGTTAGCTGAATGTAGGGTTAATTTTGTGAAGGCTAGAAGTTGTATAACACATAAAAGGTAAAGCTTTAGAAAAAATTCAGAAAAATCTCAACAATTATATCAAAACAAAGAGACTAAGAGATTCTACTAGCATATGTGGAGAGCCAACATCTATAGAGAATGATATTCTACATTATACTGGAGAACTGAGGATATTCATCTTAATAGAATTAGACTCTCTTGCCATGATTAACATATTAAAAGGTATACGACATGTACCTTTAAATATTAGTATGAAAATGATAAGAATCAAATATTGAAGGAACAATGACCTAGTATAGTTTCCTCAAATCCTAAGTAGGCGTTTGTCCGTGTAATTCTATATCACAATATGATATTATAAGATGGAATCAACGTTTGGACATGTCATTTTACGCTAATTCTATCTAATGATTCTATATCATGAGATGTGATACTATATTCTCCAAAAACCATGATATGGAATCATATGGGAATATCATATTATGATTTGAGTTATTTTAATACAAAAATTGATCCACGTGTTTATAATTTGTTAAAACAACCTCACATTTATATCTTCTAACCATTTATTTCACATGTAAATAAAATTTATGATCACATTGTTACTTTTTAAAATTTATTATTCTTACCGACATAAAATTTATTATTCTCACTAACATGTAGTCACTTTAACTCATACTTCACGATTGTTGAGTAATAAAATCTTGAAGAGCCTGTGAAAGGTATTTCATTTTTACTCAAATATATTGATGAAACAATTACTTAAGTGGAGAACAAATAACTTTGTAATAATTTATTATACAATTTTATGATTTTTTGTTTATTTGATCATATTGAATAAACAATTGGGTTATTTTAATAATTTTAGAACTTATGGATTTTTATGATTATGAGAAAATATACAACACCAAAATTCCATATCGCATGTCCAAACAAAATTTCAATTTCATCTCATGATTCCATATTATGATACCGTATCGCATGTTCAAACGCACCCGAAGAAAAGATAATGTAATTGCAGAACTTTTTTTAGCCAACCTAATTTTGATTTTGTAGGGAACTTCGGAAAATGGAAAGGAAAAAGTTAGAGAAAATTTTGTTGAGATTGATTCTACTGAATCGACCTACGAATCGTAAGAAGTTTTACGGATTGACGGGATGAGTCGTAGAAACTTCCAAAGGTTATGAGAGGACCTACGGGTTGTAGAAAGGTTTACGGGTCATAGGAAGCTCCTATAAAACGGTTCCAAACTTAGCAAGGGTTTTCGGGCTTAAATTTGAGTTCTGTGGAACGAGTCTATGGGATGTATGAAGTTTGACAACTCGTAGAAAGAGTGCCATGGAAAGTGGATTAAAATCTAAGACCAATAAAACTTGACCTACAGTTGACCAGTTTAGTCCGTATGAAGTTCTAAAATTGTAGATCATAACCTTAGATCACACTGACAGTGTTAATTAAGAATATTTTGATCTTTTCTCATCCTTTCTAAGCTTAAACTTCGACATTGTTACACCTAGTTAAGGGTTTAAACATTGTTAATCGTCCTCATTACTTCACTACACTTCCTAAAACTTAGAGCAAGGATCGCAGAGGAAAAAAACTAGGATTCCAAGGTAATTATTGAGTTTCGCCAAAGAACTCTATTTTTCTAGATATGTAAGGCAAAATCATAGTGATGGACTGAGTTTGTGCTCACGCCCTATATCTGAATTTAGTTAGTAAAACTTAATCTAGGATTATACCTTTAGTTTAAAAAATTCTTGCGATGACTTATATTATTGATTTCAAGTTCTAAATCATTGATCATGAATTGTTATATATCATACATTAAGATCCTTGAGTTGTTTTTCTTGTTTATATTCCACATGAATCCTAATTTTTGGTTCTTAATTGAGAATGCTTTGAACAAGCATCTTTTCGTCATAAATAAATTTGAAGAAATTAAAAGTGAGTTCAAAAGCAAAGTTTAAGCCTAATTTTGAGAAGAATTTAAGGAAACTATATGGTTCCTATATATCATTTTTACATAAGAAAGCATATTATATTGAAAAAAGTAAAGAATTTTCAGAAAGATTATATACAGAGCAGTTTTCTCTTAAAGAGGTCCTTTTGAGAACGTATATCAACTAGAGAATATTTTTACATTGAGCAGTGTGTGCGTACGTGCGTGCGTACGTGCATGCGTGCGTGTGTGTGTGTGAGAGAGAGAGAGAGATGGGTTTATCTTGATTCAACTTATGCATTACATTCAGTTTTGTATCTTGATTCAACTTTTTCAGTTTCATTATTTATTTTTCTCAGATATATTACATACTAATGTATTAATGTCATTAGACATGTATCTTTTCATGATGATGTTACAGATGTTCAAGGTCATCAACAAGCGCTTCATTGAGATCATTTTGCACTTCTTGATAGCTTTGGTGAGTCTTATTTGAATCAGAGGACTCCACTTTGTCTTTCAGTTTAGTAGTTTTGAGGTGTCGTAGATGTAGTCATGACATTCATGTTCAACTATAGAGGCTTTATATATAGGTACTGTTGAATTTCTTTCATTATTTTCTTTGAACTATTTTGGTAAACTATTACTATTATTATCACATTATTTTTAGATAGTTTTCAATATACTATTTTGAGATAATTTGAATTATCAGAAGTTTTAAGACTTAAAATTTTAATTTTGTATTAAAACTTAAATCTACTTGAGTTAGTCTTCCGCTAAGTAGTTACTCAGGCCAAATATTTAATTGCGGATTAACAATGGCTCCCGAGTGCCGGCCACATCCAGGATGTAGACTCGTGGCGTGACAACAAGTACCATAATCAACTATTTTTAGGTTTTACCCATATAACCAAGAAAACCAGTCAATTTTGACATGCAATAAACACGACAACTTAGACACAACATATGCAATATTAAAAAATTAAAGATAAAGTTTCAGCAAGGATTAAAATAAAGAGAAAGGGAAAACATCATAACGTAGTCAAGACAGACAACGTGGTCAAGATAGACAACGTGATCACTAGCTACTTCCAGTCACAAAATAAGATCACCCCGAAGCAAGTTAGGTGTCAAGACTTTCTAGCTAAATTTGACTAGGTCTTGGAGTACAAGATTGAAAGGGGTAATGTAGTGATTGACGCACTAAGTAGGAAGGTCTAATGCCCTATCTTTCGCCTAGGTGCAGAGGAGGCTCATTCAAAAAAAATAATAGATGTCATAATTGGATCACACACGCTAAGAACACATCGAATTTGAGGGGACAAGAGGTGTCACTCATCAAAGTGTGAAACACAAAGTTTTTGCCTAGAAGATAGCTACCCTCTTTTCCACTTTTAAATCAATTTTGCGAGCCTTTTTTGCTTGTTGTCATCATTACAGCTCGTTGTGACATCCAAGATGCTATTAAGGATGGCATGCAAACGATTCAGAGGCTAAGAAGCTTATGGAGTTGGCTGCCTAAGGCAAGACGAGGCGTTTTTGGGTGGAAGATTGCATTTTGCTCACTACTAGCCGAAGGGTCAACATACCCAAGTTTGAGTGGATCAGGCGGCAAATCATTAAGGAGGGCCACTGTAGGCTGATTAGTGACGTCATCAAAGACAAAACTATCAATGCAAGTGTCTACAATTGTACTTTAGTATAGTAACTCAACCAAGGGTTGGAGTCGTTTCCACAGGGATGGTTGTGATAATAAATAGCAAAGCAAAATCTAGTTCTAATTAGTCATAGCTAAGATATTGTCGAATAAAAACATATTAAATCAAAAAGGGGTGATGTGACGCAAGCGTCAATTATCAAATGGGGTTTTTTGTCACAAGTAAAAATAGCAAAATTAACAAAAAGTGTTGATCAAAGAGACTTGGGATGTGATAGGAAAAGGGGTAAACGAGATTTTTGGGTACATGCTTCTGATAGAAAATTCTTAGAATAATTGTCACTAGGCTAGACTTTAAGGGGGATAAGCTCTCTCTCTCTCTCTCGCAACTTACCCCGTTTTAAATGGGTTCCTCTCGTACACTTGCTTTCCGCATGAAGAACAATCTTCCCCATAGCCCACTCACTCTCTCGAGCGGAGTGTGTGGAAATGATACTAGGGTTCACTCTCTCGAGTTGAACCTCATGTCGACCCGCTCCCACCGACCATCAATTTAGTAGTCTTAGTTTCACGATCTCTCTCTCGAGCTAGCTGAAAACACATTTATGAGATAATATTTGCAACTACAATCTCATTAAATTCACCCACAAC